AAAAAAGAGCCTTTCTACCATCCCAACATCATCTTGATGGACGAGTCAAAAATAGCGTGCACCTCAGGCTCCACGGCCGGCTGCAGGCCCGACCAACAACAATCAGATGCGCGTTGCATCCATAGCCAACATGCCCGAAACGCATAGCCTAATAGCTTGAGGTTCAGGGCGCCCAAAACACCATACTCGAACGGCTTGCACACTTGCTCCCAAGCCACCAGACAATGGCCACCGCTGACGACGTGGGTCCCCTTTCAAAAGAAGGCACGAATCCTCTTCTCAAACCCATCGATCAGCCATACGGGCAGCTGCATCGTGATAGAGTGATACACGGGGATGGATGTGAGGACCGACTTGACTAGCACGAGGCGACCAACCGCGGTGATCCAACGAGCAATCCATGGCAGTAGTCGATTGCATACTCTGTCCAATAAAGGTTGAAGGCACACCCTTGGACTCTCGTAAAAAAAAACTCAAGTGAACCAAGTAATGTTAGGCTAATAATTATTGCAAACACTTGGTGTACTCTCCCCGGAAAAGAAAACTTGGTGTACTGCTCCGCAGAAAGCAAAAAACAATCGATTCGCAAATTTAGACTTCGGATATGAAAGTGGAACCTCTGTTTGTTTCCGGCAAGCGGTTGTAATATACAGAACTCATATATCCAGTCTGAATCTTAACACCGACCGACAAAAGAAGCATGGCTGACACTAATTTCAGAAATCGCCATTGCTCTGCGGAAAGAACACAACATCAAACACTTGAGGCATCTAAGTTGCCAAAAAAGCTGAGGATTTTAGCTAACTGTCAGAATTTGAGACACAAACACTCCACATTCACGGAGAAGCTCACAAAATAGAGTTGAACTAAATATGGAAGTTCCTGAAGGTGTGAACAAAATTTCCCAAAAGAATGAGAATATATTTTGGTGCTGCCCAGGCTCGAACTGGAGACCTTTAGTGTGTAAGACTAACGTGATGACCGACTACACCACAGCACCATCTTGACAAATTCTTAACCCGCCTGATTAACACAGAAGACTAAACATTGTTTAGGCCAACCATTCCATCGTCGTGCAACCGCATGTTTCAGTACGAGAGAGAAAGAGTCTCCTCCCACTCCACTCCCATTGGAATGCAAACACGTACACATGCCGTACGTGTCATACTAATTACCCTAATGTGCACGTGTACAAGTGTACAGAAATTGACAATCTTTGTCAAGATTGGTGCTAACAGCGTGCAGGTGGGAGGCTGGCGAGATTTGTTCCGGGCTCCATTCACCAAATGTCCAAATCCCATCCCTAAGGCGTGAACCAATGTTTGATTACCACCCTCTGCGGATGCTGGTCACTTTTTGATGGATGGCAAAGCCACAACGGCTCATAATGGTTGCCGTGCGGGATTGCGCCCGCTTCCGTGGCATCTGAACCTGAACAACGGCTGCGGACAGCTAAACCCCGGGGAAGGAAACACTCCTGCCTTTAGGCTGTCCCGCCGGTAGCCTCACACAAGAGCGTTGGGCTTTGACATTGCCAGCAGAGAAGGTTCTTCTTCTCTTTGGCCAGCGCCGGAACGACAGAGCTTCTGTGCGACGTGGAAGGACGTCTGAACCGGCGGCGGTGATCAGGGTTCGGGGTTCCCCCTGTTTCGGTTCCACCCCCCCTCTCTCCAAACTATCTCCTACGTTCTTCCTAATGATAACAAGATTATAATAGCATCAATTGCAGTGCATAGTTCCAATGCTCATATGTGTGAAAAAGGGTCAACATTTTCAAAAACAAAACCAAAACAATTTTTCGTCTTCTCCAACACGCATACAAATGAGCGTCATCTTGTATTAGAGAGAAAGGGTCAAGATGACGCCAGATACAAACAAAGGCCAAAGGGCCATAATAAACAGACAACGAAAGCCCTCGAGGCTACCTTTAACAAAGAAAACTCAGAGAAAGGAAATAAAAACAGCCAACAGCGGATCCCTGATGGTGATGCATCAAATTACTTCTCTCAGCTAGCTATTGTCAACATTATGGCTTCAGAGAAAATGGCATTAGAAGTCAAGGTATGCATCACTCATCAGTTCCAACTTCCAAAGACGAATACCATAAAGCCCTTCTTTCAAGTTAAGAACACACAGAACAATTTATACCATCTCTGAAGAGTTTATCTGTATTCGATGTCAGAGTGACCAAGCCAAACAGCATCAAAATGGTGGCAATGAAACAAAAAAACTGGGTCCAGAGTTGGCTCTGATCGTCAGAGAGGTTTGCTATACAATAGTCTACTTGATGACCTCGAAAAATAGAACTTCAGGCTGGAGCTTGCAGTCCTTGAAACGTTCTAGCAAATGCTCCCAACTATCTTCTCTCTGCATGCAGGAAGTTCACATCAACAAATCAGCAAGTTAAGAATAAAATGGCTACAAGAAAGAATACAGGGCCTTGATCAACACCCAGGAGTCACGAGTAACTTACCTCGACAGTCTCGAAGCCATATATGACCCACTTGTCCTCGTCGCGAGCAAAGCAGACGTAGCGGTCATCAGCATAGCAGATCTGCAAGAGTTTGGATTGCAAGCTAGCATAAGATGGATGCTAAATTGCACTGCGTTTGCAAGGAGTGACTATGCTTGCATATGTAAGCAGGCAAATTAAGTAACCAGAGCATTAAACCAACCTTGCAATAGGCCTGCACTAATACTCAAAGCAACAGAAGAGTAAACAGAGACAGAGAGATAGGAAGTGTGCATATAAAAGGTTACTCCAGCAGATGTTCTGCAACCACTCCATGTGATTTGATGAGGCCATTTCCTATTCGCTTTAAAGGGAAGGAAAATAATGCAAAACATACTTGTGAGAGCAGCAGACTTTAAAAGGTCTAACCAGTTTACCTACATATGATACTTCTTCAACCGTTCAATCAATGGAACGTTTATAAAAGGAACTCAGCGACATAAGGATCACACAGGCTATTGATTCTTGCTGAAATTCTTCTGCCGAGTCTTCTAAATATCTTGATATAAGTGAAGTAGGCAGGAAAAAATATGCCACAGATAGGACCATTCAAAAACTTGCAAATATCTCTCCAACTCCAAGTACGAACCAACTCAGATATGATGTATCATAGTTTAAACCTTATATCCACTTCTTTATAAATAGCAGCAAAATGCCTTGTCAATGTAACCTAGGCAATTTGAACCAGGTGACAACGCCATTTAACCATGATCCGTTTTGTTCCACAAAATAAGAACCTTGCTTCAGTCTTAGAACAATACCAACTTGGCCTCCGGTAGCAGTCAAGGAACAGTAAACAATTAGCAACACAACTTATAAAAGGTCATGAACGTCAACCAATACAAATAGCTCATTGTTTTTTATCATTTCAGGATTACCTTAACATGAGAATTAAATGATAAAAGTATTTGTTCAGCTCCATTGACAATTCAATTTAGGAAAATAGAATAGTTTGCTGTGCACGTACCATGGAGGTGACAGCATACATAGCTGCAGGATGAGCACTCCTGCAAAAGAACTCAGTGTCAAGGGGAGACGTGATGCCAGCCAGAACTTCAGATAGTGCGTCCTGGCTTTCACTGCCACCCAGCCAGTTCAAAACTGCCGACATGATGAATATTTATTGGTGTAAACTACTGCAAGCTATGATGTATGAATAAAATAAAAGCCAACTTATAATTTGAGACAAGTAGCGTTACCTATTGTAAAGAAGTGTGGTGTGTTTGAAAGAAAGAGATCAAAATTATGCAGACTTCCACAATGGTCGCATTTGTTGTCCTCGCGAAACTGTTCATCCAATAGGACCGGAAGCTCTGCAAAGGACTTGATCTGTACAAGGACAATTAAAACCTCTAGTCAATATTTCCTACTTTCTAGAATACTCTTGCGTCAATATCCACCTATACAATGTTGGCTAGGCAGATAACTATTGCATACAGCATACCTTTGCTGTTTTAGGTGAACCGGCATCGAGTTTATGGAAAAGTGTGGTATGCAGGTATTCACCGGAAGACTTCCCACAGCTACAGCTGATTTGAGCATCGAATTTGATCCCAAAAAGATAATGTGTTGGGCATATGCAATCTCCGCACGTGATTCGGTTCACTACATGTCTCTCGGTCTCCTTGTTTTCTCTAAAACGCGAACAAGTTTCTGACATATGCAATTCAATGAGAATTGTGGCCGCAATCTCAGAAGCAAACGTTTTCCCAACCTGCGGAATATATTCACCAGGAATTCAGGATTACTAATTGCATGCATGATCATATAGGACAGACTCAGAATACAGTTTTTTTAGGTCAATACTTTACACACAACGTAAAAGAAACACAACAGCGATGGAAAATACAACAGAGCTTACAATAACAACATACTCCCTCCCTAAAGAAATATAAGAGCGTTTAGATCACTACTTTAGTGATCTATAAATGCTCTTATATTTCTTTACGGAGGGAGTACCTAAATTCGCCCATTCTAGTGCAATATACTTGGTATAAATATTCAGCATGCATAAATATACAGTAAATAATAATAAAAAACAATTAATTCTGGCATGAACTAGGACTGTTTCCCTCTGTGGAGTGTAAGATACCACATCTATGTTTTGTTCAAAACAGTTGCAGACCTCCAAAATGACCACAAAGTAAGAAATGAACACATGCAAATAAAATAAATTGAAGGTAGCATCAGCACTGAACTGGATTACATACTCTGCTTTCACGTTGTAATCTAATTTCAATTATTTTTTGTTTAAACGGTCTTGCAAATATATGCAATGGTGATTAAGGTCTAACCTTTTCATAAAAAGTGCTGCAATCTACAACTCTGCAGAGAAGAGTCTTCATGCAAGTCAGTACAACATCGCTTAAGTGGTGGTCGTTTTTCTCCCAAGAAGAGAAGATTTCATAAAATTGCTGTGCAATGCAGGGATTTTCAACTGACGGGATCCATACAAGTGGCCCCATCAGAAGTTTATCTCTGAAATGCCTCAGATTGCACAATGACTGCACACATACAAAGGAAATTATAGGCTGGTTTTTCAGATTGCCCAATGACAGGAAGACATACATAGGAAATTATAGGCTGGTTGTTAAAAGATCACATGACCAGATGCGAGTGTCTCTTGTTCAGCATTGTTCTTGTTGGAAACAGTAAGGCTTTGTTGAGAACTGGAGGTGCTTGCCATTTCCTTGACAGATTGGCCAGAAATTCCTGTATTATGAAATTGTAAGAAGTATTAGTGACATAACAGAGCATATTTTATATTGTAAAAAACTGAGAGCATGCAACAACGTATTTGTTAATTCAAAAAAGTGTTTTCCAAGAGGTTAGACTGAATGGAAGTTTTCCTTTGGAACTGAGTGCAAAGTGGCCTATAGGAAAAGAGGACATCCTAAGGATTCAAATCCTACATACCAGATAACTTCTAATAGAATATTACGCTGTAAAAAACCTCTAATATAGTAGTACTCAAAATCCCTAAGGATGGAAATCCTAATAAACTACATAGAAATTCCTCTGAATCAAGGAGGCATAAAACAAGCAGACTAGGCAATGCCAGGTTTAGATCGTTGACGTATAACTTAATTATTTGCTATGACAGCAGAAGAACAAAAAGCTCCTAGAACAGTCAATGTGACATGAGTTAACACAAATTCATTGGGCAGCAGGAATTTTACCGCATATAATATCAATATTGGCATCAGCAATTCCAATACGCCTAGTACCAGGATGATTTAGATAAAAAGGAATCCGTTTCTTCAATTCTATCTGCAAAGATGGTTATCAGTTAGCACACAATATGGGCAGTTGAGCCAACAAATGGGCATATATAACTATAAAAACTAATCGCTGCAGATGTTAACAGACCCATTGGTATGATCTCGCAAGGGGAAGAATGATTTCACGATAATCCACAACAGTAACTTGAAGAAACTTTAGCCACAATTTGTCTATTCCAGAACAGCACTCCTGAAACTGCAATCAACAAGCAAGCCAATCATTAGTGTGATAAACATCACTATCAGCAGAACAGTGAACTAAGGAGGAATGCTAAATTGAAACCATGCCATATGTAGAAGTGCTAGACCTCAGTGCTAAGTGTATCTTTAGGCAACATCCTCAGCTTCTCCCTGATGCTCCCAAGGATCTCAGATCCTTCTCTGCATTTCCTTTGTCGCATTTCAGCGAAGGGCTCTGCCTGTATTCCAACAGATGGTGAAAGCAGCAAGGATTCAAACATATCCTGCACCCTTGGTAAAAGGAAGGTGTCAGACTGGCGGCTGAGAGTTATCCCAACCAACGAGTGATCATCCTGTGATGAATTCTCATAATATTCTGGATCTATAAGTGACTGCAGCTTCCCCCAGAGCTCATCTCGGTGCTTGCTGCACGTGTGTTGCCAGAGCGAACTAGTGTCCGAGAACTTCTTGCCATCACAACGGGAATTGAGGCAAATCCAGAAACTCCATGACTCCTGATTCTTGAGAAAGCGCGTTGCATCAGATATGGTCTTTGCTGCCGACTTGTCGATTCCATCATAGTGCGCCTGCAGCGTGTCAACCGTCACTGATACGACGCGTTGGCCCTGCAGTGCGTTCTTCATAGAGGACCAGTATAATGCAGCCACAACTATGATCTGCTTGAGCAAGACACGGAGCTGCTTCTTGACATAAGATACTCTGGCATCAGAATCTGCCCCAAGAGCAGCCATGGGAGGTATGTCATCCCACTTGGGGTCATTCGGCGTCTCGATGCGAACTGCCCGGCGGCACTCTCTCTCCGCAGCATCAAAGTTATCCAGGACGAACAAGAGCTTGGCGTGGAACAAGGCAACCATGAGCGAGTGGTCGAAGTTTTCTGCCGCTTGAGACACGGTGGTGAGCGCGCGGCGCAGAAGCTGCTTCTTGTCCATTGCCGGATCGAGGGCACGGACTGGTGCCAAGTCGATGTACGCGCGGAGTAGCTGGGCGCGCGGCGAGTAGGGGTAGGTCTCGGCGAGAAGCTTTGCACGGTCCCGCGCTTCATCGGCGGCAGGCCCGCCGAGATTGCTGGCGTCCAGCAACTTGGCGGCCTCCAATGGTAGAATCCTGTGGTTGATTCTTTCCGCGAAGCGCTCCATCGAGATGCTGGCGCTCTTCACGGCATCGCGCCTTCTCTCCTTGCTGCTCGAGTCCCCGCTCATGTCGTACACCACGTTGTACAGCGCCGGGTCGGCTTGGTCGTTGTTCGCGACCGTGTCGAGCATGCGGAGAAACTCCTTCTGCGCGTCCTCGAAGCGACGGCAGTCGGCGAGCGCGTCGGCGTGGTCGGTGTTGGTGACGACGCAGCCGGGGGCGAGCCGCGCAGCGGCGGAGAAGGCGTCGAGGGTGGCGTGGCGGTGGTACTTCTCCAGCGCGGACGCGTTCTCGTCGTCGTCTTCGTCGTCGCTGTGGGCGCCCCTGTCGTTCCGCGCGACGAGGAAGGCGTGGCGGTGGATCAAGCCAGCGAGGTTGAGGGCGACCGCGGAGCCCGGGTGCACGGCGGCGAGCACTACGGCGCGGGCCACCGCAGCCTCGTGCTGGCCGTCGTAGTGGAGGTTTAGAACCTCCCGGGCCTCGTTGCGGATGGATGCGGCCTCCGCAGCCTCGTGGTTCGCCATCGCCGGGGCGCTCGGAGAAGTTGCCCGGCTGGCGTGGAAACCCGGGAAGATGCGCGCGAGGTGTTCGCGGAATTGCCTCGCGAAGAGACCGGAAGGAAACGGGGGAGGAGGAGTAGAGG